TGCATACCAAATGCAGAAGAAATAGTTCACTTTGCTCTAATAGTTTAATAAAGAAACTGAGGAAGATTCTAAAGCTTGTGATGCAAGAAAGGGAGTCACGGAAGAGGTGAGAGGGGGTGAGACGTGATCGAGAGGGAACGGCATGTTGAGAAATCAAAATATGGAAGCTCATGGTAAGACTCTGGATGATGTGATGAGTCACTCTTGGCAGTGACTGCTGAGAGCTGAGACTGCCGACAATGGGGGAGACCTTCTAAGAAGGATAGATCTGGAGGTCACATTTCCTACATACGCATGGGGGTGGGGGAGGACATATCAGTCAGGGTTGGGTGCCAGAACTAGGGAGAACTCCAGGTATCTTAAGCAGAAAGGTATTCAATACAGTAAGTTAGATATTTGCAAGATCTGTAGAAGGTGCAAGGAGTTTAATCTCTCGGAATTATCCACAAAACGACACAGAACAGAAAACAGATCTACTGTCTCTGAGGCCACACACTGGAGTTTTGTTGGAAATAAGAAGCTAAAACTCACTCCTCTGCCACCACTTGTCTTAGCAGCCGAGAATCCTTGTAATAGCCACTGTCTGGTGCTGGAGGAACTCAGTATTTCCATGAACTTGCTTGCCAGCAGCACCATCCAAAACCTTCAGGAAGATGGACTCTGCTCATTCCTGTCTTCCTAATTTCTCACGATTGCATCCGTCCAGAATGCTAGCATTAAAGGAGTCTGAAGAGTGTGCCTGTTAACTCGGCAACTTTCCCAGATACAGACCAGGTATAGTGGAGTTTGAGCAAACCAACAAGAGTATCCAGCCTAAGACTTAAGAATTGTATGCAAAAACCTTAGATATTTAAATTTTTTATTATCTCATGTCAATGTAAAAATACTGACATCCTAACAAGGGCACAAATTAAAACAGAAAAGTTTTACAAGTATATTTCAGATTTGAGGGGTTATTTACATACGGGAATTGGTTGCTATGACAAAGAAGGGAAATTTATATCTTATATTTAATTGGGAAAACTTGGGGCTTCCCAGGTGGCTCAGTGGTAAAGAATCTGCCTGCCAATGCAGGAGATGCAGGAGACATGGATTTGATCCTTGCATTGGGAAGATCCCCTGGAAGAGGGCATGGCAAGCCACTCCAGTATTCTTGCCTGGGAAATCCCATGGACAGAGGAGTCTGGCAGGCTACAGTCCATGGGGTTGCAAAGAGTTGGACTGAGCATGCATGTGAGAAAGGAGATTCTGAGAGCTCTAAAAAGAAGATCCTTGGAAAACAAAGAAGAATAATTATTTTTAGCCCTGGAGAAAAGTATAAAGGAAAGGAGCTGAAATGCAGAATGAAGAATTAAAGGAGTCATAAGAATATACTTGGCTGGCTTGAAAAGGCAAAAAAAGGGAGGGTAACTGCCTCTCCAGCAGATATTCCATCCTAGGAGGGAGCTGATATTTATGCCTCACACAGGTTAAATACTTAAAGTGGTCGATGAGGATATATCCCCACATAGGACACCTCCCAGGACCACAGGAACCAGGATATGGAAACAGTGTCAGCACCATTTGTAGAGAGAAGGTGTCAGTGGGAATGGAATGGTCAGCCTAGAAAGAAGAAGTAAATGCCTCTGTGTGAGCTGAGCCCTGGGTAAGCAGAAGGGGATCCAGGGAACTCGCTAGAGAAGATTTCTCTCCATGCAGAGGGAACATTACAGGCAACTTGCCCAACACCTTGACTTTATTCACATACATCACTTTCTGCCCCTTGCTCTAATCTGTAAGCCACTAAGCCATCTTTGGGGAAAAAACAAAAACAAAAAACTGATCTTCCGGTACTTTAATACCAGGATGGGAAGGCCATGAGAAGAGGAAATCCCCTATTGTGAACATACACTTACCTTTTGCTTTCTACAAAACTTTGTTATTGTTGCCCGGTCGCTCAGTTGACTCTTTGCAACCCCATGGACTGCAGCCTGATGCCAATGCCTAAGACGCTCTTATGGACACATAACATTCAAGTGTCCAGAAGGGAGAGGCTGAGAGTCAGATACTGGAGAACAAAGATTAAATCTTGAGAGTTTGATGTCCAGCAAACAGTTTATCTGCATCTCCCACAACTCTGAAGGAAGCCAAGGAGGTTCAGAGATACTGCGGTTTCTCTGATGTCATAGTTAAATTATTCTGCCATATGCTCTACAAAGTAGGATTTACCCATGTCTTTAATAGGAAGGAAAGTCTGGCAAGCGTCTATTGAAATAGAAAGTGAAATTAGGAGGAGGACTCTCATCTCTCTGTTAGTTTCCTTGTGTAAATCCCAAAGAATGCCCACATGCAAAGGCAGCTATTTTATCCTAAATACCCCATGCTGATCTGATTTTTGCTGTCTTATTCATGCTTCCATACACCTCCACTGGAGTGAAATATGATAGCCAAATACCCACAACAATCTGTGAGAGGAGTTTCACATGCATCTGGGTAGTACTGCGTGAAAACAAGCATTGCGTCCTTTGAGTAACTGTCCTGCCTGATGGAGGCAATGCCAAAGTATTCAGTTGCTGCATCAGTGTTTGCTTCTATCAACCACTTCCTTAAAATATGCAAACACTCCCTTGCATCAGGGCTCCTCAACATATTTCATTCATTCTTCATGAATTTCTTACCAAAAATGTGTGCTGAATTCCTATCGTGGGCAAGGCAATGTGGTGTACAGAAGACCGAATTTGGTATGAAAGACATGCCTTTATGGCTGTGTGTGTGTGACAGTCGCAGAGTCATGTCCAACTCTTTGGAACACCAAGGCCTGGATCCTGCCAGGCTCCTCTGTCCACGGAATTCTCCAGATAAGAATACTGGAGTGGATTGCCATTTCCTTCTCCAGGGGATCTTCCCGACCCAGGGATTAAACCCGGGTCTTCTGGCTTCCCTGGTTTCTCAGACAGTAAAGACTGCCTGCAATGCAGGAGACCTGGATTTAATCCCGGGGTTGGGAAGATCCCCTGGAGAAGTGAATGGCTACCCATTCCAGCAGAATTATCTGGAGAATTCCATGGACAGAGGAGCCTGACAGGCTACAGTTCATGGGTCACAGAGAGTCAGCCATGGCTGAGCAACTTTCACTTTCACTACTGCATTGCAGGCAGATTCTTGACCATCTGAGCCAGCTAGGGAAGAGAAATAAGGAAGGCATAAAATAGTTCTTAGATGAAGAGGATAATGAATGATAAACATCACAATGAAAATGCAGAAGGAACTGATACTTCCACTTAGAAAAACTGAGAGATCTTGCATATCGTTGAAACCACGAGGATTTGTTGTTGTTCAGTTGTTCAGTCATGTCTGACTCCTTGCAACCCCATGGAATGCAGCACATTAGACCTCCCTGTCCTTCACCATCTCCTGGAGCTTGCTCAAACTCATGTCCATTGAGCCAGTGATGCCATCCAACCATCTCATCCTCTGTCATCCCCTTCTCCTCCTGCCTTCAATCTTTCCTAGTATCAGAGTCTTTTCTAATGACTTGGCTCTTCACATCAAGTGGGCAAAGTATTGGAGCTTCAGTTTCAGCAAAAGTCCTTCCAATGAATATTCAGGACTGATTTCCTTCAGGATTGATTGATTCTATCTCCTTGCTGTCCAAGGGATTCTCAAAGTCTTCTCCAACACCATAGGTTCAAAAGTATCAATTCTCTGGGGCCCAGCCTTCTTTATGGTCCAACTCTCACACCCATACATGACTACTGGAAAAACCATAGCTTTGACTAAACAGACCTTTGTTGGCAAAGTAATGTCTCTGCTTTTTAATATGCTTTCCAGGTTTGTCACAGCTTTTCTTCCAAGGAGCAAGCGTCTTTTATGAGGATGGGCAACGTTTAAACAGGCACAAGTATAAGACTTTGCAGATTCAAGAGGAACGTGAGTCTTTGTGGGGATGAGTGAATCACTCATTTGACTGGTGGGTAGGATGCAGGAAAAAGCAATCGTGAAGCCTTTTGGAATGTTTGCAGGTAGGTTTGTTTGTTGCTGTTAGGTGTCCAGAGTAAACAATTGTGTGGCATCATTTAATGATGCTTCAATGATACCTTTGACAATAGCCAAGCACAAAACCTTTCAACATAAGCCAGGTAATCTGACCTAGCGTTACAGCCATTTCAGAGCCAAATTCCTATGCCAGTGTGTGGTGCTGCTGGGGTGAGAATTTGGGCCAACGAGAGTCTAGCTTTCTCAAATCACAACCACCTTTGCATAGTATCATAGCATCCTGGGCTGAAACAGTCTCAGAGAGGATAAGACAGCAAATAAAAGCAAGGCCTTTAAAGTCAGACTGCTTATATTTCAGGTCTGGTTCAACTCACTGGATGTGTGGTCCTGAACAAGTCACCTATTTTCCCCATTAATCTTAGATTAAAACAAAGACAACAGTACCTTATTCAGGAGATCATTATGAGAAATAAATGAATCAACAGACAAAAAGCAACTGGTACAGAGAAAGAGGTCAGTGAAAGCTAGCTGTGGTCATGGCATTCATGGTTTGGCAAACACTTCAAATAGAAATGGGACTGCAGAGGCAGCTGGACCAACTTGGCGATTCCTAATATCAGATGAAATCTTCTAAATATGTCTTATTTCCAGGAGCTGCACTTAGATTAAATGCTGTCTCCTGAAGCTCTGAACATCACTTCTCTGGTTACCATGATGCTCCAGGTAGTTTTGAAGCCAAACGTGGAAAAAAGATTGAGTGTCCACAAGATATGCACACTAATGATGAGCATAGAATCGGTGCAAAGTTCAGGAGCCACAGTGGGGGGTCCGTTTCCTTGTTTTACTTAAGACATCAACAGACATTTTTTTCTTGCATGTTAGCAAATGTCTTAGGTATTCTTGAAATTTACATTTAAAACCTGCTTTGTCTGCCCCCCGCCAAGCCATACACATACACTAAAAATAAGAGCGTACATCCTCTTATTTTGGTATATCCATACAATGAAATTCTATGTAGCAAATTCGGCTGGCTAGCTTAGTTGGTTAGAGTGTAGTACTAGTAATGCCAAGGTCATGGGTTTGAGTCCCATATGGGCCAGTTTGTATGGTGAAGCTGAATGTCTTTTGGGACTTTCCAGGTGGCTCAGTGGTGAAGAATCTGCCTGCCAATGCAGTAGACGCAGATTTGATCCCTGGGTTGCAAAGACCCCTTGGAGACGGAAATGGCGCCCCACTGCAGTACTCCCGCCTGGAAAATCCCAGGGCACAGGAGCCTGAGCGTCCACAGGCCATGGGGCTGCAGAGAGTTGGACGTGACTTGGCAGCTAAGCAACGCTTTTTAATTAGCTGCTTAGAATTCCATTTTATGTATATACCATAATTTAACAACTTTTCCTGTTCTTTGACATCTGATTTATTTCCAGTCTTCTGCTTATGCAAAAAAAAAAAAAAATGAGTTGGTTATTAGACTTCATAGAAAAGCATCTTGGTGTTTAACTTACATGACTAGGACTTGAGACACAGGCAAGTAAGACCTTTGTAGCTAATATCTTATTCCTTGTGCAGTGCTTTTTGAAAAGACTTAGATTTTCTGGTTTTAGATGAAAGATACTATTATTTGCTATTTATCTTTATCTTTAAGTGAAGTTCTAATGAATTGTATGTGGAGTAAATAAGTAATCTGAAGGTGAAGGAGCATCCGCAACAAGGTTCCTGGTATTTTCGTGAAGTTAAATACTTATAACACATGCTCTTACCCCTCTCTGTTTCTTTAATTGCTGCTTTTGCACAAGGAAGAGAAGGGAGCCCCAATCAAATCCTTCACCTTTTCTCCTCTTGGAGCTCAATGTTCAGCCATTTGGACCCACGGAGAAAAACTGGGAACAGGGACAATGATTCTTAATGTGTTCTTTTGTCCCCAAATTAGGAGGTTTAACAAAATCCCTTCTATCCTTTGTTTACCTGTCATGTTAAACCACTGCAATATTTTGTCTCCGTGATTACAGAACTGAGAATTATGGAACACAGTAGCAGGCTTGGTAATGTTTAAGCTGAAAAATGTATTACACAGGAAGTACAGCTAAAATTTTATAACTATAGATGGAATATAATTTGCAAAAATTGCTAATCACTATGGTGTACACCTGAAATATATACTGTACATCAACTCAATTTAAAAAAAAGTTTTAAAAAATGTATTATGTGGATAAGCAAGGAAAAGTTCCTTCTTCTAAGTTGCCAAGAAACCACACTGTATAAAGCTCAAAGACATCAGATTTTTCAACGTCCTATTCAGTAACTTAACAACTTTGACATTTTTGGAAAGTATGGACATCTAATATGTCAATGGACTCCCCAATCCTTTTAAAGTGTTTTAAGTGCAAACCTATCAGCTTTATGTTTTCTTTAGCTAAATTCCCCATGACAGAGATTCCTTATTTTTTCATCACATACCTGTTCAAGTGGTATCATTCTTGTCCTTGGAAATCAAAGAATGCTAGAATGAAAGGTCCTATCCCATCCAGTATTTCAGTAAGACTCATCTTAAAATGGGAAAGTGGGCACTAAACATATTAAAATTTTAAAGGAACGTTTAACTGGGCTGCAAGTCTATGAGAGTAAGAATGTCTTATTCACCAGCGAATCCCCAGTGATACAATGTTGGGAATATAATACGCAAATAATACTTGAAGAATGTAGATGTCTCTGTCCAAAGTCACAGTGTCAGAGTTGGCGGCACAATCAGGATGAGCCCAGCACCCGCTCACCACCAGCCAAGGAGTCTGCCACTGATTTCTCCCTTCCTGGTCATCTTTTACTTGAAAGGAAAAAGAATCTTTTCTTTTGCCCCCATATTAAAAAAAATATTCTAAACATCTTTACAAATACTAGCTAAAATATTCTACTTGAAATTCAGTTTCCTCTAGACTCCCAAGTAGACATCACCAGGATAGTAAACACAAGTATCCCAATTATAATAAATGATTAACCAAGAACTTAAAAATCAGGAGGGAATTAAACAAACAAATGCAACAACTCTGCCATAGATTTTAGAGAAAGGGAGAGAAAGGGGAAAAGAAAGAATGAAAACACAGCTAAAAAGAAAGGAAACAAACATAAAATTGTGGTTTCTCCTAGCTTTGTTTCATTGTGTTGGGTGGCATTGGAAATACACACAGTACTAAGGGCAAAACCAAAAATTGCCAAGCCTCCACACTGACATGAAGACAAATCCTCCCCAGGGGATACAGGGATTCTTGGTAGAAAACACTTAACACAATCTCAGAAAAGAGAATATTCAAGCTAATTAAAATTCTACTCAGCAGGCTTCCCCGGTAGCTCAGTGGTAAAGAATCTGCCTGTCAATGCAAGGACACGGGTTTGATCCCTGATCCGGGAAGATCCCACATGCCACAGAGCAACTAATCCTGTGTGCCACAACTACCAAGCCCACGGCCGCAACCACAGAAGCCTGAACACTCTAGAAGCCATGCTCCACAATAACAGAGGCCACGGCAACAGGAAGCCGGCACATTAACTCTGCCCACATAGCATCAGGACAGAGAAATCCACAGTCCAGAAAGACAAGCAGGTTTCTGGAGAAGGGGGTGAGAGTATCAGGATTCCCAGTTTCAGCTCAGACATGTAAAGAGTTGTCACCCTGTGCCCTTATAACAAGAAAAAATAAGTTAAACTGAAAACTGTTACAACTTAAAATGTACAGCATACCCATTACAGGCAGTTCCTTAAAAGACAGAGTTACTACAGGACCCAGCAATTCTACTCTTTGATCTGTACCCGAGAGAAATGAAAAAGTGTCCTTACAAATATGTGTACATGATATTCACAGCTGCATTTTCCATCACAGCAAAAAGTGTAAACAACCCAAATTTTCTTTAATTGATCAATGGATCGATAAAAAAGCAGTAAAACCACACAATGGAATTATTTGGCAATAAAAAAGGATGAATTCTGATACAGGTTACAACATGATGAACCTTGAAAACATTATGCTAAGTATAAAGCAGTCATAAAAGACCACATAATGTATGATCCTTTTATATAAAATGTCCAGAATTGGCAAATTCATAGGTAGAATGTATGGCTAGATTAATAACAGTTGCTTAAGCCTACAAATGTTGACTTGGGGACTTGCAGGTGGCACTAGTGGTAAAGAATCCTCCTGCCAATGCAGGAGATGCAAGAGATGAGGATTCAGTCCCTGAGTTGGGAAGACCCCCTGGAGGAGGGCATGGCAACCCACTCTAGTATTCTTACCTGAAGAATCAAATGGACCAGAGAAGCGTGACTACAGCTCAAGGGGTCACAAAGAGTCAGACAGCACTGAAGTGATTTAGCACGCATGCAGGTCTACAGAAGACACAACGATTAGGAGAAGTTGTGATAACTAAAGACTACAAGGTTGTCTTTAAAGGGTGATGAAAATGCTCTAAAATTGATTGTGGTGATGAATGTCCAAGGATGTGAGAATACTAAAAACCATCAATTGTACACTTGAAGATGGGTGTATTTTATGGTATGTGAACTATACCTCAATAATGTTATTTTTTTTAAAATCAGAAAAATACTTGAAACAATTCTTTCAAAAGAAATTTCAAAATTTGGGAAATCGTGAATCATCATATTTTTAAATTAAGGAAATATAAATTCTTGAAAAAAAATCACATTTATTTAAAAAAAGTCTCAGGTCTGTTTTGCTGGTTTTGAGTAATAAAAATAGACTCCCAAATATTACTTTTCATTTTTACTATTATTTAGCTTTCTCTTTCTTTTTCCATTTTAATTTACCTTTTCATTTGTTGCTGAGAATCACTGAAACGTATTTTGAAGAATAATTTTAGATTTTTTTAGGGTCACAAGATGATTTGAAGAAAAACAAAATAATGCTGTCTTTATTTTGAAATGTAATCTTTCACCATTAACTTCAGAGTAAATATGCATCCGGAATGACTCAACTTTTAAAGAACTGCAGATCAAATCCAGGAACTGTATTTGAGCGGAGCCAGATCTCCATTCTGTAGGTCCTCTAAGGCTTTGAATCTACAGCCAGTGGTTACATTTCCTGCTGCTCTCAGCATCTTAAAATGGAAGAATTACCCCCTCATATTTTTCATAACAATTTACCTACCACAAAGCATACTTGTTTGGAGACTTCCTCAGTGACATTTCATAATAGTAAGAGTAAATTACAGATTGCTACTACTAAAACGTTTCTTTCCTCTGGGTTAGCCCAACAACTTTGCGACTGTGGCTAGACTTTTTCCTTTTCATTACTTTTTACTTCAACCTAACATCCATGTGAATTACCTGAATTTTTTTCTACTTTTGGAAAAGGTTTGTATGCGGGTGCTTTGCATCCTCCTAGAAGAGTCGGCATCAGTGGTTGGTCTCCTCCCATTCACAGATGGAGACTGTCCTTCATATCATCTGTACTTTATTAGGTCATGTGATGAAAGCTAAGCCAAAGTTGTGGTTGAAGAGCAGCCAAAACTTTCTTAAAAGCTGAGAACAAGTTTTGCTCAGAATGTCTGAGTTTCTGGAATGAATATCAAAAATAGCTACTATGTGCATTACTAGGGAAATGCATTCCTTGCATTGTGAGAACTTGTGTTTTGGGAAAGAAGGGTCCCTAAGTTAAAAATGGTGTTTGAATCTCGCCTCCGACATCACCGTTGCCTCTCACTGCCTGGCGGTGTCACACAGGCTTTGAGATCGTGAACTGTTCTGACATCTTCTATTAATGCTGCCTGAGAGCAAATGATTTTAATTCTTATTCTACCTTTCTCACATATAAAATACATATCATTTTACCTACTTGAGAGAAGTGTCAAGAGAATTCATTGAAACAGCATATATAAACTACCTAGCATCATGCTGAAAACACAAAGCAATTTTAATAGTGGAATTAAGGATACACATCTTAAATGTAGAAGCTAGAGATTCAATATACATTAGTTCTTTATTCTGCTTCTTTAACCTTCTAATGCTAAGGATCATAGAGCTCATTTGTATAAATTCAAGTGTGCATGCTCAGTCGCTTTAGTCGTGTGTGACCCTATGGCCTGCAGCCCACCAGGC